TCTCACCCGGCTGAGCACAGAGCCGCAGGGTCCCCCAGTGAGCTCCACGAGGTCAAAGATTGGAAAGTTCCAGTCGCTCAGATGCTCCATCAGGGAGCCCAGGGCCTCCTCGTCGAGCTCCGTCACAGGGCTCCCGCTCTCCTCGTCGAGCTTTGTCACAGGGTGCTTGGCCTCATCGAGAAGCTCCATCACAGGAACCTTAGTCTCATCGAGAAGCTCTGTTACAGGGCCCTTGGTCTCACCATGGAGCTCCATCATCTGGTCATTGCTTTCCTTATGGGGCTCTTCCACAAGCCCCTTGTTCTCACCATGCATCTCTGTCACAGGACTCTTGGTCTCACTGTGGAGTTCAGTTGAAGAGTCCTTGGTCTCAGCATGGTGGAGCTGTGTCACAGGACTCGTGGTCTCCTCGTAGAGCTCCGTTGCAGGGCCCATAGTCTTGTCGCGGAGCTCCGTCACAGGGCCTATGCTCTCTCCAACCGACGGCAACCTTTGAACTACGACCTTTGACCAAGGCGCAGAGTCGCTCTCTGATCAGAGGAGAACAGAACAACGAGCTGAGTTCACAATGGCCGTGTCGGGATCATAATGGCCGTGTAGGGATCATAATGGCCGTGTTGGGTTCATAATGGCCGTGCTGGGTCCACAATGGCCGTGTTGGGTCCACAATGGCCGTGTTGGGATCATAATGCCCGTGTTGGGATCATTATGGCCGTGTCGGGATCATTATGGCCGTGCTGGGTCCACAATGGCCGTGTTGGGATCATTATGGCCGTGTTGGGTTCATAATGGCCGTGTTTGGATCATAATGGCCTTGCTGGGTCCACAATGGCCGTGTTGGGTCCACAATGGCCGTGTTGGGATCATAATGGCCGTGTCAGGATCATAATGGCCGTGTTGGGTCCACAATGGCTGTGTTGGGTCCACAATGGCCGTGTTGGGTCCACAATGGCCGTGTTGGGTTCACAATGGCCGTGTTGGGTCCATAATGGCCGTGTTGGGTTCACAATGGCCGTGTTGGGTCCACAATGGCCGTGCTGGGTCCACAATGGCCGTGTTGGGTCCACAATGGCCGTGTTGGGTCCACAATGGCCGTGTTGGGTCCACAATGGCCGTGTTGGGTCCACAATGGCCGTGTTGGGTCCACAATGGTCGTGTTGGGTCCACAATGGCCGTGTTGGGTCCACAATGGCCGTGTTGGGTCCACAATGGCCGTGTTGGGTCCACAATGGCCGTGTTGGGTCCACAATGGCCGTGTTGGGTCCACAATGGCCGTGTTGGGTCCACAATGGCTGTGCTGGGTCCACAATGACCGTGTTGGGTCCACAATGGCCGTGTTGGGTCCACAATGGCCGTGTTGGGTCCACAATGGCCGTGTTGGGTTCACAATGGCAGTGTTGGGTTCACAATGGCCGTGTTGGGTCCACAATGGCCGTGCTGGGTCCACAATGGCCGTGTTGGGTCCACAATGGCCGTGTTGGGTTCACAATGGCCGTGTTGGGTCTACAATGGCCGTGTTGGGTCCACAATGGCCGTGTTGGGTCCACAATGGCCGTGTTGGGTTCACAATGGCCGTGTTGGGTTCACAATGGCCGTGTTGGGTCCACAATGGCCGTGCTGGGTTCACTATGGCCGTGTTTGGTCCACAATGGCCGTGCTGGGTCCACAATGGCCGTGTTGGGTTCACAATGGCCGTGTTGGGTCCACAATGGCCGTGTTGGGTCCACAATGGCCGTGTTGGGTCCACAATGGCCGTGTTGGGTTCACAATGACCGTGTTGGGTTCACAATGGCCGTGTTGGGTTCACAATGGCCGTGTTGGGTTCACAATGGCCGTGTCAGAGGCACTCAGAAAGCACTGCTGAGATGCTGGCCATTATGAATGCGACACGGCCATTGGGAACCAGCAGGTCCGATGAGGAAGAGAGAGACCATTACCTTGAATAGCACTGTGAGATCCAGGGGTCACTGCCACGGAGGAAATGGAGCAACGATTGGTGATTCCACAACTGAGAGAGAGCCGAAGGAGAGAGATACACAATGACATATGCACCATTCACACCGCCTTTACCCCTACCACTCGCACTGCCTCTACCCCTATCACTCACCCTGCATCTACACCTACCACTCACCCTGCCTCTACACCTACCACTCACCCTGCCTCTACCCCTACCACTCACCCTGCCTCTACCCCTACCACTTACCCTGCCTCTACCCCTACCACTCACCCTGCCTCTACCCTACCACTCACCCCACCTCTACCCCTACCACTCACCCCACCTCTACCCCTACCACTCACCCCGCCTCTACCCCTACCACTCACCCCGCCTCTACCCCTACCACTCACCCTGCCTCTACCCCTACCACTCACCCTGCCCCTACCACTACCACTCATCCCGCTGCTACCCCTACCACTCACACTGCCTCTACCCCTACCACTCATCCCGCCTCTACCCCTACCACTCACCCCGCCTCTACCCCTACCACTCACCCTGCCTCTACCCCTACCACTCACCCTGCCCCTACCACTACCACTCATCCCGCCTCTACCCCTACCACTCACACTGCCTCTACCCCTACCACTCATCCCGCCTCTACCCCTACCACTCACCCTGCCTCTACCCCTACCACTCACCCTGCCCCTACCACTACCACTCATCCCGCCTCTACCCCTACCACTCACACTGCCTCTACCCCTACCACTCATCCCGCCTCTACCCCTACCACTCACCCCGCCTCTACCCCTACCACTCACCCTGCCTCTACCCCTACCACTCACCCCGCCTCTACCACTCATCCCGCCTCTACCCCTACCACTCACCCCGTCTCTACCCCTACCACTCACCCCGCCTCTACCCCTACCACTCACCCTGCCCCTACCACTCACCCTGCCTCTACCCCTAACACTCACCCTGTCCTTACCCCTACCACTCACTCTGCCCCTACCACTACCACTCACCCCACCTCTACCCCTACCACTCACCCTGCCCCTACCCCTACCACTCACACTGCCTCTACCCCTACCACTCACCCTGCCTCTACCCCTACCACTCACCCCGCCTCTACCCCTACCACTCACCCCGCCCCTACCACTACCACTCACCCCGCCTCTACCCCTACCACTCACACTGCCTCTACCCCTACCACTCACACTGCCTCTACACCTACCACTCACCCTGCCTCTACACCTACCACTCACCCCGCCTCTACCCCTACCACTCACCCCGCCTCTACCCCTACCGCTCACCCTGCCCCTACCACTACCACTCACCCCGCCTCTACCCCTACCACTCATCCCGCCTCTACCCCTACCACTCACCCTGCCTCTACCCCTACCACTCACACTGCCCCTACCACTACCACTCACCCTGCCTCTACCCCTACCACTCACCCCGCCGCTACCCCTACCACTCACCCTGCCCCTACCACTACCACTCACTCTGCCTCTACCCCTAACACTCACCCCGCCTCTACCCCTACCACTCACCCTGCCTCTACCACTACCACTCCGGCTCTACCCCTACCACTCACCCCGCCACTACCCCTCAACCTGCCTCTACCCCTACCACTCACCCTGCCTCTACCCCTACCACTCACCCTGCCTCTACCCCCACCACTCACCCCGCCTCTATCCCTACCACTCACCCTGCTTCTACCCCTACCACTCACCCTGCCTCTACCCCTACCACTCACCCTGCCCCTACCCCTACCACTCACACTGCCTCTACACCTACCACTCACCCCGCCTCTACCCCTACCACTCACACTGCCTCTACCCCTACCACTCATCCTGGCTCTACCCCTACCACTCACCCTGCCTCTACCCCTACCACTCACCCTGCCTCTACCCCTACCACTCACCCTGCCTCTACCCCTACCACTCACCCTGCCTATACCCCTACCACTCACCCTGTTCCTACCACTCACCCTGTCTCTACCCCTACCACTCACCTGATACACACGAATTCGAGTTTATTTTCCTCTGCTTGCCTCGTCTCACAGTGGGTGGAGGAGGTGGACACGGGGGAGGAGGTGGACAGGGGGGAGGAGGTGGACACTGGCGAGGCTTGAGACACGGGCAAGGAGGTGGACACGGGCAAGGAGGTGGACACGGGCGAGGAGGTGGACACGGGCGAGGAGGTGGACAGGGGGGAGGAGGTGGACACGGGCGAGGGTTGAGACAAGGGCGAGGAGGTGGACACGGGCAAGGAGGTGGACACGGGCAAGGAGGTGGACACGGGCGAGGAGCTGGACAGGGGCGAGGAGGTGGACACGGGCGAGGAGGTGGACACGGGCGAGGAGGTGAACACGGGGAATTCCTCCGTGGGAAGGGAGTCGCCTGCACACAGACAGAGAGGGGCGGGCGTCACGGCGGGAGGCACGGTGCGAGGGTTCGACTCCGCACCGGTGAGTCGCCACTCTCTCTGTAGGGGCAAGTGCTGTTAGCGAGCAGCAGCACCAATGAAGGCCGAGTCGACCTAGGGGAGGCCCAGGACCGGTTCGAACAATCGGCACCGCCGGCGTTGGCCGTGAGCGGGAATCGAAGTCGGGTGGCCGGGTTCGTAGCGCAGCGTAGCGCTGACCGCTACACCGCGGCTCCCCACACACACAGTGACGCACACAGACGCACACGCACAGACACACACACGCTAACACACACACGCACACTGAGACACATGCGCACACTGACATACACGCACACACTGACCCACAAGCGCACACACACACGCTGATCCGCACACACACACACAACAACAACAACAACCGCCATTCGCCACTAAGTAGCGGTGACGTCACCACGACGTTTGTGCAAAGCTATGTGCACCCTGAGGCCACGTGAAGTGTCGAACGCCCGCTGGCAGGAGGTCACGGGGCAGACCCAGGTGCCACGGGTCGACTGAGATGACTGGCTGATGCACCACCTGTGCCCCCTACTGTGGCAACCTGCTGTGCTTTAGCCACCCGGCGCTCCGCTCGTTGTTGTGAGCGTCGCTCCTCCGCCCTCCGTTGTTGTTGGAGGGCGACTGCCTCCAACTGCCCAGTAGCGTCCTACACGAGCCTCCTCCACAGAGGCCGATCTTGACAATGCTGGTACCAGTCATCGGCAAGTCCACTCAGCTCCACGTCCTCCTGTACCACATCACTCCATCTCTTCTCTAGCCAGTGCCGCGCCCGCTTAGCCCCCTCAATCCGGCAGAACAAAAGCTGTTTCGGCATGCGGTGGCTGGGCATGCGGGCTACATGACCCAGCCATCGCAGCCTTCCCCGCCGGAGGAGCTCACCGATGGGAGCTTGCCCAGATCTTTCAAGGATTTGTGAGCTCCTCACACAATCCAGTCTGGATAACCCAGGATGGATCGTAGGTAGGCCAGCCTAAATGTTTCTAACCGGCGAAGATGTTCCATTAGGGGGGTCCACGTTTCGCAAGCGTAGAGAAGGGAGGGAATGACCGTGGACGAGAAGACCTGAAGCTTAGTGCGGAGTGACAGACCAGGTAGCTTCCACACAGCGTTACGCAACCGATGAAAAGATATTGCCGCTCGACTGATTCGGAGTGAGACCTCTGCTGTTAAACTGGAGCCAGTCATAAGCACACTGCCCAGGTATGGGAAACTCTCCACTCTCTCCACAGCTGCCCCATCACCAATTGGGAGTTGTGGGGGTGGAGTGTCCGATGGTACAAAATACCCAGGCAGGTGCTTAGTTTTGGTGGGGCTGATGGTAAGGCCCCACCTCTTAGTGGCACGCTCCAGTCTCAGCAGCAGCGTCTCCAACTCCTCCTCTGAATGAGCAGCTATTACCAAATCATCAGCATACATAACGTGGTTGAGCAATAGGGAGCCATCCCTTGACCGCACCCGGGCATCGATCAGCCTCCCATTATATCTGTACCATATGGAGATTCCCCCGGTACAACTATTGAAGGCTTCACGAACTACGTGGTCAAAATAGATGTTAAATAATGTGGGAGCCAGAGGACATCCCTGTCGCACCCCAAGGTGTACAGGGAATGGCTCTTACTCCCGGCCACGTAGTTTTACCCGGGCCCGCTCACCATCATGAAGGTCCTTAATGATCGTGAGCAGAGGGTCAGGTACTCCAAAAGCACGAAGAACAACCCAGAGCCCAGGCCTACTGACCCACACACACACACGCTGACCCACACACACACACACGTTGACCCACACACACACACACGCTGACCCACACACACACACACACTAACCCGCACACACACACACTAACCCGCACACACACACGCTGACCCACACACACACACACGCTGACCCACACACACACGCTGACCCACACACACACACGCTGACCCACACACACACGCTGACCCGCACACACACACACGATGACCCACACACACACACACGATGACCCACACACACACGCTGACCCACACACACACACGCTGACCCACACACACGCGGAGACACGCGCACACACACACGCTGACCCACACACACGCAGGGACACACACACATACGGGGACACGCACACACAGACACACACAAACGGGGACACGCACACACGGGGACACACACACAGACCCACACACACGCGGCGACACGCGCACACACACACACACACGCGCGCACACACACATACACACGCGGGGACACACACACGCTGACCCACACACACGCTGACCCACACACACGGGGACACGTGCACGCACGCAACGTGCGAGCGCAATCGCGGGCGCACCAGGGAGCGATGCGCGGGTGGCTGAGGAGCGGCGTCTGCCGTGCAGTGCCGACTCCGGCTGTGGTTTGCCGGGAGGTGCGGTGCGACTCCTGGACGTGCTGGGGGAGACGCACAGAGACACACGCACATGTATACACACACACACATACATGTATACAGACACACGTATACACCGCTACACTATCGCTCCCCACAACACATGTATATACACACACAGACGCACGTACACATACACATGTATACACACACGTACACACACACATGCATACACACACACGTATACACACACGTACACACACATGTATACACACACATGTATATACACACACACATGTATACACACACACACATGTATACACACACACACATGTATACACACACCTACACACACACACATGTATACACACACACGTATACATACAGAGACCCACACATGTATATACACACACACACATACACACACACAACAACAACCGCCATTCGCCACTAAGTGGCAGTGACGTCACCACGACGCTTGTGCCAGGCTATGTGTACCCTGAGGCCACGTGAAGTGTCGAACGCCCGCTGGCAGGAGGTCACGGGGCAGACCCAGGTGCCACGGGTCGACTGACTGAGATGACTGGCTGATGCACCACTTGTGCCCCCTACTGTGGCAACCTGCTGTGCTTTAGCCACGCGGCACTCCGCTCGTTGTTGTGAGCGTCGCTCCTCCACCCTCCATTGTTGTTGGAGGGCGACTGCCTCCAACTGCCCAGTAGCGTCCTTCACGAGCCTCCTCCACAGAGGCCGATCTTGACACCGCTGGTACCAGTCATCGGCAAGTCCACTCAGCTCCACGTCCTCCTGTACCACATAACTCCATCTCCTCCCCAGCCCGTGCTGCGCCCGCCCAGCCCCCCCAATCCGGCCGAACAAAAGCCGTTTCGGCATGCGGTGGGTGGGCATGCGGGCTACATGACCCAGCCACCGCAGCCTCCCCCGCCGGAGGAGCCCACCGATGGGACCTTGCCCAGATCTTTCAAGGATCTGTGAGCCCCCCACACAATCCAGTCTGGTTAAACCCAGGATGGATCGCAGGCAGGCCAGCCCAAATGTTTCCAACCGGGGAAGACGCTCCATTAGGGGGGTCCACGCTTCGCAAGCACAGAGAAGGGAGGGAATGACCGTGGCCGAGAGGACCTGAAACTTAGTGCGGAGCGACAGACCAGGTAGCTTCCACACAGCGTTACGCAACCGATGAAAAGATATTGCCGCTCGACTGATTCAGAGTGAGACCTCTGCTGTTAAACTGGAGCCGGTCATACGCACACTGCCCAGGTATGGGAAACCCTCCACTCGCTCCACAACTGCCCCATCACCGATTGGGAGCCGTGGAGGCGGAGTGTCCCATGGTACAAAATACCCAGGCAGGTGCTTAGCCCTGGTGGGGGCGACGGCAAGGCCCCACCTCTTAGTGGCACGCTCCAGTCTCAGCAGCAGCGTCTCCAACTACTCCTCTGAATGAGCAGCTATTACCAAATCATCAGCATACATAACGTGGTTGAGCAATAGGGAGCCATCCCTTGACCGCACCCGGGCATCGATCAGCCTCCCATTATATCTGTACCATATGGAGATTCCCCCGGTACAGCTATTGAAGGCTTCACAAACTACGTGGTCAAAATAGATGTTAAATAATGTGGGAGCCAGAGGACATCCCTGTCGCACCCCAAGGTGTACAGGGAATGGCTCCGACTCGCGACCACGCAGCTTCACCCGGGCCCACTCACCATCATGAAGGTCCTCAATGATCGCGAGCAGAGGGTCAGACACTCCAAAAGCACGAAGAACAACCCAGAGCCCAGGCCCACCGATGGCATCACAGGCCTTGACCAGGTCAACAAAGCAGAGATGTAGGTCTTGTTGGAACTCCCTACACCTCCGCCGTAGCAGACGGACAGAAAATATGGCATCTGTGCAGGACCGCCCCCTCCTGAAACCGCATTGGGGCTCCACAAGCCGCTCCTCAGCGCGCCTGGCAAGGCGATGCCGAACAATCCTCGCCAGGACCTCTCCCGGCACACCGAGGAGTGAGATGCCCCTGCAGCCGTTACAGTCTGTGCAGTCCCCCATCTTAAAGAGGGGGACCACCAGGGCATCCCTCCAATCCTGCGGAACCCACCCAGCGGTCCAGACCGTTGCCATGATGTCATACAGGGCAGCCCGTGCACAAACGCCACCCTCCCTCAGCACCTCGCCTGGGAGACCATCTCTGCCCGCTGCCCTTCCCGGTCTCAGGCTCCGGATCGCCCTCAGTACTTCCTCAACAGATGGCACCTCAGCCAGCCACTCACAGGGAGTGACTTCCTCCAATACTTGAGGCACCGCAGCCTCAGCAGGGTCATCCTCACCTTGTGCCACGATGTTTTCCTGGCCGAGGAACTTTCCCTCCCCCAGGACCTCGCAGAAATGCTCAGCAAATCTGCAAACCTGTTCCTGGGGGTCGGAGATTGGATCACCGTTTTTTTTCCCCTAATGATTGTAATAGGTGTGGCGCTGCAGGTTACTTTTTTGATGGAGTCAAATAGAGATTTGTGATCACGGGCCACTGAGGCAGACTCTATCTCCTCAGCAACCCGCGACCACCACCCATCCTTGCAGCGCCTCACGGCTCTCCGAACCTCCGAGCGAAGGCTGCAGTAAGCCTCCCCATTCTCTGACGTGGGACTCTGCAGCCGATGACAGTGGGCCTGTCGCTTTCTCTCAACCATCCTGAACACCTCCTCTGTCAGCCAGGGTCTCTGGGGAGGTCTGGACCGCGTACCCAAAGCAGCCATTGCAGCTGCATGAGTTACAGTCCTAAACCTCGCCCATTTACCCTCGACATCAGGAGGAGTCGGGGACGATGCCAATCCCAGCCGCAAGCGATGATGAAATTCTCGCTTGCAACTTTCATCAGATAACTGAGACCAGGCCACTTTGGGTTGGAATGGGGTCCTGGGTGTACACCCACCACCGGAGTGGAAGAATGGCAGGCGCATCCTACAGATGACTAGTCGATGGTCAGAAGGCAGATCAGCTCCACGGTAGGTCCTGGTGTCAAGGACATGGGCTCGCATCCGATGGTCCGTCACTATGTAGTCCAACAGATGTTCTTGCTTGGACCCGGCATGCATCCATGATGTTGTGTGGATTCTTCGATGCTTGAACAGCGTGTTGGTAATTACAAGCCCATGGGCTGCACAAAAATCTAGCAGCCTCCTACCGTTGATATTGAGCTGATCTGGCCCATGCCCTCCAATCACTCCAGACCAGGTGCCAGCATCATGACCAACTCGGGCACTGAAGTCACCCAACATGATGACTCTATCCCGAGGGGCCGCTTTAGCCAGCACCTGTGACAGGAGGTCATAGAAGGCATCTGACTCATCGGCTTTGCCTGCATCTCTCCACGGATGTTCATCTTCGGTGGGGGCATAAGTAACCACGACCACCATTCCTCACCTCCGGTTGATGGGAAGGCGAGCCCAAAGTAGCCTGGGGCTTACAGCTTCCCACACCTCACCGCCACACTCCCACGCCCCCTCCATTCTTTTGTTCAAAAGAAGAGCCACACCCTGTTGTTTGGCAGTTTGCTGCCCCGAGTAGAGGACTGTCCATCCCTCATGGTGGCAGGAGCCAGAACCGGTCCACCGGACCTCCTGAATGCCACATAGATCCAGGCGGTACCGGTCCAGCTCCCGACAGAGGAGTGGCAGCCTCTCCTCCGCAGTGAGCGTTCGAACATTCCACGTGGCCACCCCTGGTGGTTTTTCGTTGTTTCTGGAGGAGCCCCGAGGGTAGATATTCAATCTTCTGGCTCCGCCAATTGGGGTTTGGCCAGGAGACGTCATAGACGCCTGGCCCCCCGGGGCCTCCGGCACAAGCTTATTAGTTATATATTTCAGTCGTAGTTTAGTGGTAATTAATTGAAGGTGGAGGGGTTACCAGCCCCTCGCACCCGTCCAGAGCCCCCGTTTAGCCCCTGCGGTGGACACAGATGCCATGAGGGGAGGAGCCAATCAAAATTGGACCTCCCCCCACAGCACTGTCCACGACAGAGTTGCCCGTCCGGCACCGCAAGGAGGTAGACACACACACACACACATGTATACACACACACGTATACATACAGAGACCCACACATGTATACACACACACACGTACACACACACATGTATACACACGTACACACACACACATGTATACACACGTACACACACACGTATACACACACGTACACACACACATGTATACACACACGTATACACACACATACACACACACATGTATACACACACGTATACACACACACACACATGTATACACACACGTACACACACACACATGTATACAAACACACGTATACATACAGAGACCCACACACGCACACACAGACACACACACACACATGTATACACACACACAGACACACACACACATGTATACACACACAGACACACACACACATGTATATACACACACACACACGTACACACACACAGATACACACACATGTATACACACACAGAAACACACATGTACAAACACACACAGACACACACAGCCACACACACACATGTATACACACACAGACACACACATGTATACACACACACAGACACACACAGACGTATATACACAGAAAAGGGGTGCCGCGGTGACGAGATGTTGACTACCTCGCCTGGTGTGCAGGAGGTCGTGGGTTCGATCCCTGCCACTAACGATGCCTGCTGCTGCTGTATATGTGGAGTCTGCGTCTCTCTCTCTCTCTCATCATCATCACCATGGTGGCTATGAGATGTTGATTACCTCGCCTGGTGTGTAGGAGGTCGTGGGTTCGATCACTACCCTGACGACGCCTGCTGCTGCTGCTGCTGTAGATTTGGAGTCTGCGTCTCTCTCTGGATCTCTGTGGGTCTCTATGGGTATCTGCGAGTCTTTGTGGGTCTCTATGGGTCTCTGGATCTCTGTGAGTCTCTATGGGTATCTGTGAGTCTTTGTGGGTCTCTGACAGTCTCTGGATCTCTCTGGGTGTCTATGGGTATCTGCGAGTCTTTGTGGGTCTCTATGGGTCTCT